TGTTGGATCCCCTGGAACTGGAGTTACGGCAGTTGTTAGCTGCCATGTGGGTGCTGGGATTGGAACCCGGGTCTTCTGCAAGAATAGTCAGTGTTCTTAACCACTGAGCCATCTCTCCAACTTCAATCCTACGTAATTTTATTTAGTTATGTTTAAATTATCAAAACTACTAGAACTTTAAAATGAGGTTCATTTTTCTTTGAGTTTATTATTATAAGCTATGGAGTAAAGGTCTCAAACGTGAGCATTAGACTTAGGTTTACATGTCAAAAAGCAATCCAGCCTGCATCAGACTATGTAAGGGTCTAGCATGGACTAGAGCCTTCCTACCTCTCCAGTTACCTCTTGATTTTGTGAACTGAAGTTCCCAGAAAAAAGAAGCATCAACTGAGTAGGTTACAGCAAGGCCAGGGAATCTCTACTACAGTTTTCAGATGTTAAAGATTCTACAATACTGACTGATGAGAACTTCTTGATTGTGGAGTTGGAATGAATGTTGCAGATCCAGAGTCAAATTATCTGAAACTATCTCTAACTGCTCACTTGTTTCTGATCTAATGTTCTTATAACTATAATATAAAACCTTTTTGGATGTAGTAACTTAATAGACCAGTAGCTTCCATCAACCTAAAAGCTACATTTTGATAGTGGAGGAGGATTGTGCTCTGGGGAGGATCTGAAAACACCACCACCTGCCCATTCCCACCCACGCAGCTCAGACTGATAAGTGACATATTCCTGGGAGTGCAAAGGGAGCCACTGTAGAACTTTATTGGACTGAATTGAGACTGAGGGCTCATGGGTGTATTAAATTTTATTGTCTGTATGTCTGCTTGCTCCCCTCCCCTCAGGTTTCAAACTGCCCTCCCAGCATCTGGGAGGTAGAGGCAGGACAGGAATTCAAGGCTAGCCTAGACTATGTGAGATACTCCTTCAAACAAAAAACAAACAAAGAAATAACACCCTTCCACACACAAATAAAGATAAAATAAAATTTTATCAGGGAAAACAGACCCATGTGGAACTCCCTTACCTGGACCCCATAAACTGATGGGCACCCAACGCTGTGATGGTGTGTTCCCACACCAACTTGTCATCTGACTGACAAGCTGTGCACTGCCTGACTGTCCCTGGAACTTCAGCTTGCCCAGTCTCCTGCTGTTGACATGGTATCGACTTCTTGCCCATCCACCTGTCTAGAACTGGACCTGACCCGCTGCTCCCTGCTCCTGTGTGGTTTCCTGCTCTTAGAGCCAGGTTTGGCTTTTCACCCAGCAGGTGAACTCTGCAGCTTTGCCCTAAACCTGACTCCACAGCTCCAGTAGCAGTGGCTACTAGCATTGGTCTGCTTTATCATCTATACAGACTCCTTCACAGCCCACTTCTGAAACCCCCTGAACTCTGCTGCAGCCTCTTTAACTTGTATTGTGCTGTGAGATAGGAGACTTAATATTAGTGATTAAGACTGGAATAAACCTGCATTTGCCTTGGCCAGGCTACCAAGCTAGGTGAATTATGATTGAAAACACTAAACCTCGTGATTTTATTGCTATGCAGTAACTTCTGACTTTGTGGAAAGACACAAACCTGTGATAAGATTAGCACATTCTTATCTTTCTAAGTGTTTGTTGAGACCAGGATGTGCCCTGCTCTTAAGTTACTCCATAGTGTGTAAACAGTTTCTTTTCAGACTATGCCTGGCTCTGAGAGACTCCATTTGACAAATAAGTTTTGACTCCATTTTGAGGATGGACAATGGCTGTGTATCTGAGTAGATAGTTGAACAGCACCATCTGTCCAGCATCACCCACACAGCAGACTGATGAATGACTTATTCCTGAGAGCAGAAAAGGTGGGGTGAATTGAGACTATAAGGGCAATTGGACATATTAAAATTTCAGGGAAACCAGGCCTTATCAGACACCAGTCCAAGGAAAAGGGAGTAAAGTCTCTCAACCTGGACCCCATGAAGAGGTGAACACCTAGCAATGGTGATGGCCTCCACTGACCTGTCATCTGACCACCCTATAGGCATCAGGGACAGGCAAAGAACTCCTGTCTGCCCCAGGGACTGCAGCGGGACTGCAAGCTTAGAGAAGTCGCCTGTCTTGTTTGTGTATCTGGGCCTGCTGTCTACCTGTCTGCACATTCCTCTTCCGCTGCTTTGGTCTCTGACCTGTGACCCCCGACCCCAACCTGTGGCCTCACTGCCACCACTGCTTCTCTCCAGCTCCATTTTGTTCATTCTCTTCCTAGCTTTGGCTTCTCAGACTGGTTTGAAGCTCCTTGCCTTTTCTTAGAGCCATTCTGTCACCTACGTACATATATAACATACAGTAGATGCATGTACTGTGTGATCGGAGTATTGAGTGGCTGGTTTGTGAAAGGAACTGACACATAATTACACTTCAGAAATGAGGTTTATTAAGACAAAGAGCTTTGAGACCATGAGCAGGCCTTGAGCTGGGACAGCAATAGAAATATGTCAAAACCAGCATACAGCCTTAAAGGGATAGAGGCTTCCCTTTAAAACCTGGAGAGGAACTTCATCAAGAGAATAAGAGATGGGAGAGAGCCTCCATGAGAGGGATGGTGTGGGAGGTAGGAGTGTCTTCAAAGAAATCCCATGAACAAATCTGGCTTTTGTGCTTTCAGGGGCTGGTAGGAAGTTTTACATCCCATGATTCAGTCTGGGGTAACATATGTGACAAAGAGTATGAGGAGTCAGGTACCATAAATTAAGAGCTATAGCCACAGTGCAGACAGCTTCTTCACTGTTCCTGGAGAGAGCTGTGGGGCATGGCCTGATTTCTTCAGTCTGTGAGATCTGGCTTCTTAATGACTGCAGTCTTAAAGGGCCAAGCTATGGAGCCAGGTATGGTGGCGCACACCTTTAGTCCCAGCACTCTGGAGGCAGAGGGAGGCAGATCTCTGCAAGTTCAAGGCCAGCCTGGTCTACATAGTGATTTCTAGGCCAGCTGGGACTACAGGAAGACCCTGTCTCAAAAAGACCAAGAAAAAGGATTGGAGAGATGGCTCAGTGGTTAAGACCACTGGCTGTTCTCGCAGAAGACCTGGGTTTCAATCCCAGCACCCACATGGCCGCTAACAACCATTCATAACTCCAGTTCCAGGGGATCTGGTGCCCTCTTCTGTCCTCCTCAGGCACTGCATGACACAGGTACACTTACAAGCAGACATAACACTCATACACATAAAAAAACACGTGTTCTCCTTGGCTAGGGTTATTAAGGAAAGTGGGGTATCTGGCAAATTGCTGGCACTGAAATTATTGTACCTTGCTAATTTATTGTTATTCAATGAATTCTGACATTGTAGAAAGACATCAACAGTGTTCATTCATGTTTCTGACATAGTAAACTCACAACACCTTTATTGGCACATTTTTTAAAAAACAAGGATGCTGGAAAGGAAATGTGCCATGTAATTTGCAGAGTCCAAGTCCCTGTGTCACAAGAACATAAGAGTGTGTTGGGAACTGAGAGTAGTTTACTACCTGTACACACATTATTAGAATTTTGTTCAACTTCTATGAAACTTTGCGTATGCTTCTAATTAGCAGCAGTTCTAAAGGTACTTCCACTCACTTTTTTCTAGATTATATATGAGCTGATGGTGCAATTTTTATTTAAAAAAATTTCTTTGTGCATGCCTTTAATCCCAGCACTTGGGAGGCAGAGGCAGGTGGATCTGTGAGTTCAAGGCCAGCCTGGGCTACACAGTGAGTTCCAGGACAGCTGGGGCTACAGGGAGACCCTGTCTCAAAAAGACCAAAAAAAAAAAAAAAAAAAAATTCTTTGAGACAGAGTCTCACATATCTCAAATTGGCCTTGAACTCTCTATGTAGTTTAGGATGACCTTCCCTTTGATCCTGGAGTGCAGGGATTACAGGCATGCACTACTGTGCTCCCTTTTGTGTGGTGCCTGAGATTGAACCCAGGGCTTCATACATTTTAGGCAAACACTACTGAGCTACATTTCTAGCTCCAATATAGGTGGCTTAAGTATTTGAATATCCATTAAGAGTATTAAGTCAGGCCACAAGAGATTTATGATGTATTGACTGTGAGTTATACATTAAGCACAAAGAATAGACAATGCATCATGTTTTTTCTGTTTTTTGTTTTTGTTTTGTTGAGATAGGGTCTCATTGTGTAGCCCTGGCTGGCCTCAAACTCAGAGAGATCCACCTGCCTCTGCTTCCTGAGTGCTGGGATTAAAAGCATGTGCTGCCACGCCTGTATTTTTTTAGTATTGTTTCTAATAAGCTTGGATTGCAAACATTAACACTAGTATTAATTTCAGTGGTATGTATTGGTTATGAAATGTGATTCTTTTTTCTGTTAGACAGGAATGAATACAAAAGAAGGTAGAATATTAACAACTTTCTTTAATTTAAAAAATAAAATTATCCACAAAACATCAACTAACCTTTAAGGTCTTAAAAATATAAGTTGACTATGCTGGGTGTTGGATGCCACCTGGCAGCCAACACTGGTATGTCAGCAGGACAGTCCTTCACAGTGCTGTGTTGAGAGGGATTTGAAGCATGTCTGCATCCAACTGCCATGATGCACATCTGTTTAAGAAATTCTCTATGTAACAGTGAATCTTGACAGTGCAGCAAATATCATGAGGCACAGATAGAGTAAATAGATCACTATAGGAAAGTGTGGGTCATAGTCTAACAACAAATGTTGCCTTCTCATTGTAAGTGTAGGCTTGTTCATTTTCCTTCTGGGTGACATTAAGCCATGAAAATCAATGTAATTTTCCACACACACACACACACACACACACACACACACACATATATATATATGTGACTAGTGTAATTAATTAAAAAACAACTCTGAAATAGATTGACTGGTCTTTCCTATCTAGGTAAGAGATGAATACTTTACTTCACAGCATTTTCCATCCTAATTACTCTTTCCAAGTTGAAGACACTAAATAGCTAGAAATGGAGGCTGAGTCGCTTTCATTTTGACGTAGTTTTATTTAGAATGCAACACTAATAGCATGATAACAGTGCCACGAACCTGTACCACAAAGCACACATCTTTAATATGTTGCTGTTCACAGGTAATTTGATTGTAGCATTATTATTATTATTTGGTACTAGGCTCAAAGACGACACTTAGATTCCTCAGCTTTGGGGTATTTACTGACATCAACATGATAGTCTAGTCATGCAGAGGAAAGAAATTCAAACGCAGTTTCCTTTTCCTCTGCCAGTTCCTTTGCGGTAAGATCCATTTTCTCACGTGAGAAATCATTAATAGGGAGACCTTCAACAAACTTCCAGGTCTTGTTCTGTTTGAAAGCAATGACAAGCAAGAGATTTAGTTTAATTAAAATTGATCTTTTGGCAAGCAACAATCTAGTTTGAAATTCTATCTAAAGGCACATGTGTTTAAAAATAAAAAGAAACTCTAATTCTAAAAAGCTAAGTTAGAAATCAGAATCTACGTTTTTTGGGTGGGGGGTGTTGTGGGGCAGGGCTTACACTGAGGATCAAACCCGGTCAAGTTCTCCTTTATCCTAGGCATGAGCTCTACCACTGAGTGCAAACCCAACCTAGAACTCAAGTCAGTCATCTAATCCTTATAAAAAAATGAGCACTTGAATTAAAAACTCATTGAATCTTGAAAGAAATCTGTAAGAAATTATTACTAACTATAACAATGCTGAGCAGTACTGATTTATTAGAAAATAAGGTTCTATTTATGGTTCTCCAATGCAGAAGTATAATAACATAGTGTCCCAGATTAGTTTCAATTATTTAATGACTTGAAATTGTGACATACACAATTTTTAAGCTAGAAAGAAGAACTTAGGAAAGGAACAACTTTCTAGGCCAAATCATAATATTTTTTGAGAAAAACATGTACCTGCTTTCTCACAGAAAGGGGAATAACCTAAACACCTCACCTTGATCACAACAGGGAAGGAGTAGAGCAAGTCATCAGGAATTCCGTAGGAGTTGCCATCAGAGATAACACCCATTGACACGAACTCTCCCTGGAAAATAGTTACACATTCTCATGGCTCACAGAGACTAGTTTACACAACCAACTGACATATGAACTAATAAACTTAAAACAGGTGACCTCCTTAATGACATGCACAGCTTACTGCTGTGTAAAGAACCAGCACCAGTACAAGGTACTTTTGTGACAAGATGGCTTTCATAGACATTATGTCATCCCACTCTTCCAAATCATGCATGAGGCAAGCCAGAGCCAAGCCATTCTTATTCTATAGACAAGGATGTTATGACCCAAAAGTGGTTTAAGAAGAAAAATGGCTTGCCATATATAATTGTCTTTAACTCACACTATCTTGTGTGATAAATGTCACGTAGCAGATGACAGAAATAGCTTAGAAAGGTTAAATAATGTTCCTGTGTTTCCCTGGCTAGTAGGCAGGTGAGCCAGGAAACGAACTGAACCGGCCTGATGCTAAGGCTATACCCTTTACATTCCTGCATTGAGGGACACAAACAGAAGAATGGTCTGTACAAATCAGAGCCTTCACCTCAGGGGTTCCAAACCAGATGTTTCTGATGTGGTCGGCGATGGCTTTCGCAGCAGACATTGCACTGGACAGTTTCCGAGCCTTGATGACAGCAGCGCCACGCTGTTGCACAGTCTGGGGCAGGGACACAGAGAAATAGTGTTATCTGATCATGACAGCAAAATTCTCAGCAGTTCCAAACTTACCCTGGGGTGAAAAGCTGCTGAAATTGTAGCTTAATGTTTCCTTTAATGTGATGCTTACTATCCTAATTTAGTTATAACCACTAGTTTTTGTAAAAAAAAAAAAAAAAAAAAAAAAAAAAAAAAAAAAAAAAAAAAAAGTACAAAGAAAAGGATCAGTATAAACATAACTGGATAATTCAGTTTTTTCTAGCTTGGATAAGAAATCTCAGCTGCTGTAACAGACCAGCTCAGACTGGATGAGGACTGGCTTTGAAAGCAGTCCTCAGAGCAACTGTGAAGGACCAGATGTCTGAGGGCCATTCTCTACCCCTGGACCAGAGATTCCTGGCTCTGCAGTGTGGTGTGTGAAGAAATCTGTGTGAGCAGCTGTTGGAGGCCTGGTCTCTCCTTACCATGATGAAGTCTCCCTTGAGCCAGCTGTCATCTTTCACGGCTTCATACACGCCAACTTCTTTTCCCTGCAATTTCACCTTGGCATGATTGACATCTGGATACTGAGTTGAGGAATGATTTCCCCAGATGATGACATTCTTTACATCATCAGCAGTCACACCAAGTTTAAGAGCAATCTGGTTAAAATTAAAACAAATACATCATTTACACAAATGATTTTCATTTTGAATTTTTACTTGTTTGACAGAAGCCCTTAAGTAAAGGTAGATAGATGCCTTCTGAAACTTCAATTACAGTAACTTGAAAAAAGGCAAATCTTACTGCTTGGCAGTTTCTTAGAACAGTTCATGATGTTTACAACTGTGAACTTGAAATATTCAGGAGGAGTAGCAAGCATTCATAATTTGTGATTAAATTATTAGCACAATAACTTAAGTATAAAACATCAACAAAGGTTAACATTCTTAAAAAATATTTTTTTTATTATTTTTATTTTATGTGTATGAGTGCATTGCCTGCATGTGAGTGAACCCATGTCGTGCAATGCTGCAGAGGTCGGAAGAGGGCTTCAGATTCCCCTGGAACTGGAGTTAAGGATGGTTCGTATCGGCCATGTGGGTGCTGGGAATTGAACCCGGGTCCTCTGCAAGAGCAGTCAGTGCTCTTAACTGCTGAGCCATCTCACTAACCCCCAGGTTAACAGTTTTTGAATACACAAAATATGTAAAATATGATTTGTTTTGTTATCCACGCATGGAGATGTCTCCTTTACACTTCTGATCAGATATTTTAAGTATACACATTCTATTTAGGTAAAAATTTTAGTATATAAAATGTACAAATTATTTAAATAATCCTAACTGAGATGGAGTTAGAAGGGACTCACATTACCAAACTGTGACTGCCCCTATTTATAGGTTAGGGAACTGAAGTGGACATCATCTATAGATACCTTGATTTATGATATGGTCACATTCTGATAAACTCAGCATAGGTTGAAAATGTTCTAAGTTGAAATGCATTTAAAATATTGAACATTAAAAAACACATAACTTAGGCTACTTTAAACACATTTGGAACATTTACATTAGCATACAATGATTCCTATTTTATAGCAAAATGTTAAATACATTTATGACCACCTATGTTACTATTTATAACTTGGGAAAATAACCAAGGCTATATTTTACTAAAAATTTAAGAACTCATGACCTCTCTGAATATCAGATTTAAGTACTCCAAAATACAGTGAAGACAAACCGCCTCTAGGCATCCCTCCCCACAGGCGTCCCTCCCCACAGGCTTCCCTGGCCCCCTCCCTCCCTTTGCTCATAATGCTTAGCCCGTCTTACTCCTTTGATCTTGATCAAATCCTTTGGACAACAAAGGACAGATACTCTGTACCCAGCAGATGGTGTACCTCAATGTCATTCATGTCAGTGCTAGGTCGACATTAACACACACAGGACAACAGTTTCCTGCTTCCTTAGGTAACTTCATGTTTGTCATATAGATCTATTAAATTCTTTGACTAATTTTCTAGCTCTAGAAATTTTCTTCTCCCTAGTAGCAACGGCACTGCCAAATTATCGTGTGTGTGTGTGAGTGTGTGTGTGTTTATCTAGTTTTGGTTTGCAAATACACAGGGGAGTTTTATAGGTAATAAAGCAGTCACTTTTGAGTTGTATGTGTCTTTTTTTATTATTTTTATTTTACGTGTATGCATGTATTGCCTGCATGTAGGTAAGTGCACCTGTGTCACGAAATGCCTGCGGAGGACAGAAGAGGCTGTCAGATCCTCTGGAACTGGAGTTATGGACAGCTGTTAGCTACCATGTGGGTGCTGGGATTCGAACCCGGGTCTTCTGCAAGAACAGTCAGTGTTCTTAACTGCTGAGCCATCTTTCCAGCCCTATGTGTGTCTTTTAAAGAGTGTTTTGTTTTGTTTTGTTTTCTTTTTTCTTTTTGAGACAGGGTCTCCCTGTAGCCCCAGCTGGCCTGGAACTTGCTATGAGACCAGGCTGGCCTCAATCTCACAGAGATTCACTTGCCTTTGCCTCCTGAGTGCTGGGATTAAAAGCATGTGCCACCACGCCTGGCTTGGTTTCTTTTTTTAAAAAAGGTTTATTTTATTTATATTTTTTATGTATATGAGTGTTTTGCATGCCTGTGTGTGCCTAGGGCCTTAAGGAGGCCAGAAGAAGGTATCAGATTCCCTGGAACTGGAGTTACGGTCAGTTTTGAGCAGCCATGTGGGTGTTGGGAACTGAATCCAGGTCCTCCGAAGAGCGGTAAATGCTTTTAACCACTGAGTCATCTCTCCAGATCCCACTTTAACTTTTTTAAACAAATATGGAGTACTAATCACGATTTATGTAAGAAAAATTTATTTGGAGGTTTATTAGTTCTCATTGGATAAACAACTTCCAAGAGGAAGAAACTCCTTCAAAAACTTCTCACTGTGCCACACTGACATGCTGAAATGTGTCTAACCAACAGCCTGTAAATTACAAAGGCTGTGTGCCAAAAACCATGGTCGAAGTATGATGAGAACTTCTCTTTTGGTTTGTTCATGACTTTTGCCCCCACAAGGACAGTTTTCTTAGACACTCTGACGAAGTGCTACTCTGTAACACTCGTGTTTTCTGACCACTTCTTCTACCAGGACCTGAGGAGAAATGGGGAGGCCTTTCAGTGCCATCTCGCCTCTCTCCCTGTAGGAACTAAGTCAGCAGGCACTAGATGGTCCAAATCTACAACTGCAACCCTCAAGTCTTTTGTTTCATAATCTACATATATGACATAGTTAAATTACATGTCACGTGAATTATTTCACTCTCATTTTTAACTTCCGTACCAAGAGAACATTAGCAACCACATTTAATCACAGCTCATGATTGAATAGCTAAAGATAAAATTAAGGAGGAACAGATTTAAAGACTTTATAACAAATGTAATAATTTACTTTTAATAAAAGGAACAGTTTCCTACTCAACAGAAATAACTAATGTACAAACTAAGGCTTAATTACTTTAAAAAAAAAAGGTTTTAAAGCTACAATTTGTAAGGTTTAAAAGCCATTTTTCTTACTTGAGATTTGGCTCGGTTATGATCCAAGCGAGTCAAGCAACTGAAGTTCTCCTTGGGAATGGATGGAGCTGACTTGGAGGCTGTCAGACAGTTTGTATTGGCTGGGTTTCCCACAACGATAACCTAGGATGGATGAGAGGCATAGAAGATATAGAGACTTATACTGAGACTCAGCTTAGAATGTGACCTAAGAAGAACGTGTGTATCTGTGTGTGCGTATGTTTTCATGATACAAGTTTTTACGACATACAAATCAGTTTCTGTTGGCAATATCCAAGATCTAAGGTCCATCTTTCTACCTTGCTATAGATACAGATCATTCATCTATTTACCCACAAAAGGGAAGCTTTTTGGGTAAATAGCTTTTAAAGCTTCATCTAAGAACTTGAGTCATTCATAAAAATTTCCCCTTTTGAGTTTATTTAGGAAATCATTTTTTCTCTGTGAATTCAGTGTTTCTTAAATTTGCCTAACCCAAGGATGACCTGGACTATTTGCTAAAATACAGGTTATCTCCGTAACTTCTACAACATACACACACCCCTCTTTTTTGGCCCATTTGAGCACAAGCTGCAGCTAAGTATTCCACTGCCTTTGGGTCTGAGTATTCCAGTGTGTGAATATTTGGTTATTTTTTTGCAGAAGTGAAATTACCACGGAAATAGTACCACAAATCCAGGCTTGAATTTTACCAGTCTGAGCAATTCTGTAATCCTCTACCAAGAGACCTGTGGCTTTCTTCTACTCATTTCTTATTTCCTGTTAATGATTATAGTAAAAAAAAAATTATTTAAAATAAAATCTATAGGGGCTGGAGAGATGGCTCAGCAGTTAAAAAGACTGGTTGTTCTTGCAGAAGACCTGGGTTCGAATCCCAGCACCCACATGGCAGCTAACAACTGTCCATAACTCTGGTTCCAGGGGATCTGATGGCCTCTTCTGTCCTCCACGGGCACTGCACAACATGGGTGTACTTACCTACGTGCAGGCAATACACTCATACACATAAAATTAAAGTAATAAATAAAATATTAAAAAATAAATGAAATCTACAGAAAACAAAATTGTAGACATCTATGAAGTATCGTAAGTAGGACACTAGTGAAAAATAGTGTTGGTAATACTCAGATAAATTTAGAAACTAAAATAAATAGCTTCAGAGACGGAACAGGAAGTCATAGCAACTCAGCTTCATAAAAACTCCTCCACACTGGGAAAATATGATCAGAAGTGACTAGCCCCTGTTACTGAGAACACAGGCACCCAACAGCCACCTTCCAAAATCACACAAGTGAATCTAAAGCCTGAACAAGTATTCCCACACAGCACAAGGTATAAGAAAGTTGTTTCATCTAAGTTTAAGAACTAGGGCTAAATTTTCAAGTCCATCAGTATTTACTGACCATCACATAACCTAGAAACAAATAATTATTTTTTCACTTAAACAATGAAAGCAGACGTTTCAAAATGTGAATAATGAAAAACCCCTGAAAATTCGATGCTAATCACCTTGACTGATTTCTTGGCATACTGCTCCAAGGCCGCACCCTGGCTTTTGAAAATTTTCACATTTGCTTTCAGCAAGTCTTTCCTCTCCATGCCCTCCCTTCTTGGCATGGAGCCCACAAGGACAGCCACATCCAGGTCTTTGAAGGCAACCTCTTCTTTGTCTGTTGCGATGACATCTGTGGACAGGGCAAACGACATGTAGAGCTACTTAAATACCCAGGCCTCAAGTTTTCTTTTCATTCAGAATCTTATTCTTTTACAATGTAGCAAATGTTTACTTTTATATATCACACACTGATAACATCTTTCAGAAGCCTAATATAAGAAAGGCAATATATTAATTTAACTTCCATAAGAACACAAAGTCAGTAAATTTATTTTGTGTTTCCTGCATCAATAATTACCTCACTTTATAAAGTTCTATAGCTTTTATCTTTTATATAATGATTTATTATAAAAGGTATATTATAACCTTTAAAGCAGCATTTACTATTTGCATTTATTACACAGATAACACAAAAGAGAAACTAGTTTACCTAACCTTTGGACTGTAATTACTTTAAGGCTTAAGATACCTATGACAAGTTGAAAGATGATGTCTATTGAGGCATACTGTACTAGGGATAATGAAAGGGATTATATTATCATTGTTAAACTTAATCTTCAATTTTACAGATGAAGAAACTGAGGCTTAAAGAGATTAGCTAGCCACCATGATGAGACAGTGAGGCTATACTGCCATTGTAGGGCAGTCCAGAGTTCAACTAGTATGCTTCAGTGTCAAGCTCATAAACTTGTTTTTTTGATCAAGAAACATTTTAGGCCAATAAAGTGTCAATCAGGCTCCTCTGAGTCCACAATGAAGGAATATCAGTTAGGAAAAATAAAAAATACCCATCTTTTCGCAGCCACACATCATTTTTTTGCTGAGAGCTTTTCCTTTCCTGCCATATTCATAGCAACCAGTACCAACTGAAAGGAAGGAACTCAGCAGAAAAAGGAGTGCAAAAGGAAAAGCAACGCAGGAAGCCAGGTGTCTTGGAAAGAGTTGTGAGGAAAAGGAGCTAGCAGCAAAAGCCAGGTGCACGCAGGTATCTACCCTTTACAGACCATGCAACCAACTGGTTTAGAAAGCCGAGTATCCCTTCTAGGAAATGTCTGCCTAGATATATAACTCATGTTTTTCTTCAAGCTATGCAGTATTAGGATGATAAATGAGGGACCAAATAACTCACAGGGCAGCACAGGGCTCCAGAGGACATCTTCAGATCTGAACATTTTCCATTACAGGATGCTACAGTTACATGTAAACAGACTTTAAATAATGACACAATGTAGACAATCTAGGAGTATAATCCTTGAGTGGCATTATTTCTAATTAATACAATAAATTTATATAGACGTGAAGCAAAAGAAGTCCTTGACATTGATTACTTTTGCTTTTGCACTTATTTATTCTAGGCATACATTAAAAAAAATGCTGTTCAAAACCAAAACAAAACAATTTTGTGGAATAATTTCTAATTGACAATTTTTAATAAAAATCTAAAACTGACCTTTGATAAGGCATACAGTGCTATAAAACTGTTTCTCTTTGACTCCACAACTCACCTTTCAGAAGGGGAAGGGCACAGTCTTGCAGTTCCATTAGGACACCATCCAGAACACCCATCATGGGAGTGATATCCAACAGCACAAGGATTATAGGCTGCCCAACAGCAAGGAGTACCATCAGGGTAGGTCATGCATTCACTCGCACAAAAATAGGCTTTATAGTTTTCATTTGTATTCATCTCTTATGTAGTCATAATTACTCAAGTGAGGGATGCATAGCTCGCTCTTATTAAATTGGGAGTGCTTGCTTCCTAGGGGCCAATGTCTTATCAGATTACTTTGATTCAAAAGCCCATTTATGAAAAGAAGTACAGAATCGGCCACCTTCTTACTGGACTCTCCCCTATAGTTACTCTTATTAGTGATGGACAGACCATCACTTGCTGGTTGCGGTAAGCTAAGCCAATATGAGGAGCGGTTCAGATTTGCAAACCACTTCCAATGCCTGAAGGGGTTCCTATAAATACCTTAATTAGCTTCTACTTAAAGCAAAGTTATCTATTACATTTATTGGGTCTGACTATTTCTTTACCATTTTATAATATGTTTGCAATTAAATATAGAATCTCATTAAGAACATATTTTTACTGTAACATCATGATTTATAGACATGTCCCTACCTGGTCATTACCAAAGACAGATCCATTTCCAATACTGTACAACAGTGAATATGCAATTTGACCAGCTGCTCCAGTCACAAGGACTCTGATTGGTTCAGGCTGTAATGAAAAAGACTCAGTCAAGTCTTATTTTAAATGCTACTCTAATAAGACAACATAGACTCAATGTGACATTAAAAAAAAATATTTTATTTATTATTATTTTTATTTTATGTGTATGAGTGTTATGCCTGCATGTAGGTAAGTGCACCCATGTCATGCAATGCCCACGGAGGACAGAAGAAGCTGTCAGATCCCCTGGAACTGGAGTTATGGACAGTTGTTAGCTGCCATGTGGGTGCTGGGATTCGAACCCAGGTCTTCTGCAAGAACAGTCAGTGTTCTTAACCACTGAGCCATTGCTCCAGCCCTTCAATGTGACATTTTAAAGTCTCCTTGTGCCTAGAAAACTTATAGACTTGTTTCAGTAAACAAAGCATGCACAGATGACCTAAGCAACTTATACAATATATCCTTTGGCTACATATTATTTAGCTTTCATGATACAGGAGTAAAAGGTGTACAATGTATTTATTTACATAATCTTGGCCATCTTTCGGGGGATATTTTACCATAAAAAATGGGCCCATAATTTCACTGTTCATGTTATATGGTGATACAAACCCTGAATGACCAGAGGAGCCTTACAAATCCTTAATATGCAAATCCCACTTCCACCTGCTCAGTAGAATCCTTCACTCCAAGAAGTAACAGCGCTTAAAATTGCCCATTTACATTGAGCCAAAATGGTTCAATAAAACAATTGTGCTTTGACTTAACTACCCAGAAGAGCAAAAATAAGCCTTTATTTAAGAAATTTAAATTGCCAGGCATGGTGGCGGACATCTTTGCAAGTTCCAGGCCAGCCTGGTCTACATAATGAATTCCAGGAAAGCTGGGGCTACAGGGAGACCCTGTTTCAAAGACCAAAAAAAAAAAAAAAAAAAATCTCATGTCAGGACCTCTAAGATGGACTTGGGGTAGGGGTGGGGTCACTGGACATCTTTAAAAAAAAATTTAAATTATATTTATATATTTATGGTGTGTACGTGAGCATACACTTGCTATACTATGCTGCAATTTGTGGAGTCAATTTTTTCCCTCCACTATGTAGGTCCCAGGGGTCACACAGGTCATCAGACTTGGCAGCAAGCTTTATACACAGAGCCATCTTGCTAGCCCCATGTCTTTACTTTTTATTTAAGAAAAAAAAGGTGAGAAAATGAAAATATCTAGATCATAATAAATTTTAGTATTAAATAGTGATAAGTCATGGTAATTAATAGTAATTACCAGTAGTAACTACAGTGATAAGTGAAAATTGATGATTCCATGGGAAAATTATTTTTAAAAAGGGAAATCATACAAAAAAGTACAATAGTTATATAATACAAAGAAGTAGCTTTACAGATTAAGAGACTCTGAATAAAGTAAGCTATACAGACAAAAATAATTATATTCAAAATAATGACTTTGGGTAATGGAAAAAATGTTAAATTAAGCTCAGAGAATTAAAAAGAATCAAGATGAACTGTTTCTTTCCCAGACAATGCTGAACAGTCATAATGTTATCCCTGACCCTCTGCGCATGAAGAAATGGCTCACTAAACTGACTGAGGTTAGAAGCACTTGATTTCTTCTTCTTTAGAACTGCCTCAACCATCTGAAATGGAAAAAGGATGGATGACGGCAAAAGAGCCCTCCACCCATCTATATCAAAGATCTAGGGTTAGCAGTACTTAGTAACTAACCTGTACCCCATTATTATCTGCTCTGCCCCTTTTATTATCTTCTTAAAAATCTGAATTCTATTTACTGCTATATCCCAGCTAACACCAGGCTCTTAGAACTCAAGCATTTGCTTCTGAAGTAGGATTTTGTAAATATTGCTACCAAAAAGACTGAACTGAAATACATAAATTATTGGAAGTATACTGAACATACTTTAAAAAAAAACTAAAGGTATTTTATTCATATATGCTTGTACTGATAAGGCTGGGAACTGAGGCACAATAATATTTCAGCTACAATAAGCAAAACTATGTTATGACTTTTATTTTAAAATTTTTGTTGTATTTATTTGTATGTGTGTTGGGGTGGAGGGGTGTGTATGCCAAGGCCCCCTTGTAGAAGTCGAGGAAAATTTGCAGGAGTTGATTCTCTCCTTCTACCAGGTGGGTCTGGGGTTTGAATTTGGGTTGTCAGACTTGGTGGCAGGCAGCTTTATGTGCCGAGCCATCTCAATGGTCTAAGGTTACAATTAGTCTTATTGATCAACTGATAAACTTCTCACATAACTCATTCATTAGGCAATATACCACCACTGGATTCCTATCATGTACTCCCGCACTAATTTAAAGATAGGGGATCTATAAACGAACCAAATGGATTTAGAAAGAAGATAAGCCAATTTTCTACAATCGGGGGCTAGAGGCAATAGAGTAGTAAGAGCCTGCTTTATGCTGTTGAGCGCTCCGTACTGTTTCTTCATATTGAAATGGAGATAACAATAGCAGCTATCAAACAAACAGGTTAGTTTTAAGGACTGAAGTAGTTCACAAGCAGCAGCAAGTATTAGAATTATAGATCTTTAGTAACCATAGACTTTTCCTCTAAGATTGCTATAGCCTGTAGTTATATATCATCTATATGTCTTTAAATTGAGTGTGACACTCTTTTGGGAGCAGTTTGCTTTTGACTGGTTTGCATTCTTCATATAGGTTTCAACGTGGATTTATTGAACGAACAAGGTAAGAGAAAGCTGAAGGATGGGGTAAAGCAAAGTATAACTATATTGTTCTCTAGGTGGGGTGGTACATGGCTGTAATCCCAGCACTAGGGAAATGAACAGGACAATCATGATATTGAAGTTTGAGGACAGCCTGGGCTACGTGAGACCCCAATTCTACTTCAATATTATAAGCAAGCCAGGATAAGAAAGGAGGGAAGTATCAATCACTATCACAAATCTTAACCTTACAGAGAGTCTACTTGGTGGTTAGAACTGAATAATACAGTCCATTTTAGGAGTTAATTTTAGCTAGCAAAAATGTGTTCACAGTTTCACAGTCCTCAGTGGAGGGCTTGTGGCCAACTAATGAAAAACTGAGTCTACCCTAGCAGTTTCCTTCTGCCTCTCTGGGCAATTTCATCTTAAGGGTTGTATTCCTATCTGAACATCTGATGATGAAATAGGTAAAGGAAACACCACTTTGATTCCTACTGCTCTTCTGAGACACTATGGCTGAAAAGCAGGACGGAGGGAGCGTCCCACCGAGTTCTCACAATGCGACGGTGCCAATGCAGGTTACTATTCTTTGCTCAGATATCTGGGCATTCTGCCAAGATCCAAAAAGGGATGACTTTGCTCTTGGCAGGGCACTAATGACCTTCCTGCAGATAACAGGCTGTCTTAAGAATGTGCTGTTTAGTTGTAAAGCTTGAATTTAAATGTTAGTCTGTTGTTCCACAGAAATGGAATTCCTTTTTTCCTTTCTAGTTTACATGTATTTTTGCACTAGGAGGACAAGCAGCATCATTTCTTCTGTCACTCCCCCATGGAAACTGGCAAGGAGGTCCTTCCTTTGAAAATGGTTTTGAGTTGGCGTACTAAAGACAGCTCTTTTCTAAATCAGTGATTTGTGCATACTCTCATGAGGAGGCAGGAAGATTTGGAGTCATGTGAGACTGCAATCTGACAGATTCTTCCAGGTGGACCATCTCATGCCATCTGGCCACCTTCTAGGGGTTAGGCCTGATTCAATCTACTGTGTAGCAAACACAACACAATAATGAAGGGACCTGGAACTCTCTGTGACCTTGGAAAAAAATCATCTGACTACATTCTAAGGCTACATTCTAAGATTAGATGAAACAGTCTCCAAATTCCCTTCAAACTTGAGAATTCTAATGTTCTGGATGACAAGGAATAAAGCTATCAGATAATTTACATGCTATGAGTATCTCTTCATCCATAACTTCAGCTACAAAAATAACAAAATGATTTGGTAAATGCATAATACAATAAGGGTAAGATGGAAAGACAGTGAGATGATAGATGCAAGCCTTCTGTGACCTTGCCTAATTCACACTCTGGGCCTCAACAAACTAAATTTAAATAGTTTAAGTGGGGTTTTAGTCAAGATGGTCTTATTGTAAAGTCCGAAGTTCTCAGCTAAGTACCCCTGCTTTCTGGTTAAAATTATTAGGGCAGAAATTGCTGAAGCCATAATTTAAATAACTACTTAAAATCTTCCAAAATACCTGGGCCACAACTACTGGGAATTAAGAGCTGCCTCCCTTGGTTCCTTTAAAGAGGGTGAAGAAGGAATGCCCTTGCCTTAAAAACAAGTCTTTTCAAAAGGTTTTGGGAAATTTCCAATTCATCCAAACATTTTCTCACTCATCACTCATTTTAGCATCTTGGGATGAAGAAGAAAAAACATCTCTAAATATAAATATAAACACAAGTACTGAAACTATTTCCCTTGGTCTGGTGGCAAATGTCACCTTCAAATGGTTCACAGATTATTCCTACGTCAGAGCTGTTTCACACTCCCTCCCCCTTTAGCTGGGACAAGACAGGGAGATGTAGCAATCTAAATCTTCAAGATAGTTACACTGCGTTACACTTACAAGTAAGGCTTACCGAATTCGAAACGGAGGGCAGAAAAGAATACCCACACTAATTTTTTGACTAGTGATGCTAACCTGTTCTGGAATTACAAAAGACCACGAATAGGTTTTCAGTTTAACAGTTTTATCTAATTTAGGTATGGCGGAAGCACGTCTCCTGGAAACGGGGATCATAATCTGGAGCTCTACCTTAATCTCGAGGGCTTAGTCCTTTCAAGGATTTAAGGGCAAAATAGAGGTTAGGACCAAACTCTTTCCCTCCCATCAAACCTCATCGTCCTTATTAAATCCTTTATCGTCCTTCAGGCTAAAATTTTGTCCCTCAGTCATGCAGCAAAACTGAGATCCGCCTCTCCAAGTAAAACGATTTCTCCCGAGTCCTTTTAAGATCCCCCAGGTAGAACTCAATCCTTTCCCAATTACTGGGTTACTGCGACAGTCCCCCGAAAATGAGTCTGGTTTTACAAACGGCGCAAAGGACAGGCCTCGTTACTGCTGCTTCTCTACAGACCGTCAAGCTGCTGCAGGGTCCAGGGGCCCGCACTCACCATTATTGAGAACTGCGAAGACAATTACTGCACCTGCGACACGAGTCTCCGGGAGTCAGGTCACCTCTACAACGGAACCGACTCTTGGAGGGAGTACAGGGCTCGCTACACGAGAATCCACTCGCAGCCCCGGCGCCCTCTGGGAAGTGTAGTTCAGGCCGCCGGGGTTCTGGCGCGAACTCAGAAGCATCTCGTCCAGTACTAAACTACACTTCCCAGAAGCAGAGCGTCTTGGTGCGCCCCTCCTCCCTGCGCTCCCGGCGGATTGCATAGTAGTCTCCCCTGTGATTGGAGGACGACACTGAGCCGAGGGTTTGGGTTCGGAAAGGGAGGACTGCCTGCTGGCGCTCGGCAATTGGCGGGAGGGGAGGCGTGTGCGCCTCGAGGGAGGAGACTTAGACCCCTGAGCGGCAGCACCCCTACACGCACTGGGGAGACTTCACCCTCCCTCCAGACGACGCGGGAGGCCAAGGGACCTTCCGTTGCGCAAAGCCTTCTCGACCCGGAAGCAAACCCGTTAGGCTCTCTCTGGAGGGGGGGAAAAAAAAAATCGTCGCGTCCGGAAGTCCGGACAGCTTCTCCGGTTGCTAGGCGACGCGCAGCGTGCACTTGGAGGAGTGATCGTCGGTGGCGGGAGACCATCGAAGGGCGGGCGCCGCGTCTCTGGTCCTCGCGGCCGCGGGGCGGAGCGGTGCGGCGCGGCGTTGGTGTGCGGCCACGTGGCGTCCCCATCCCGGAGGCAGGTGAGCCCTGGCGAGAGCGGGCTTTCTTTTTGTCCTGGGGTCCGGAATACGGTTGTCGCCAGCTCGCGTTGCCTGAACCCGGGCGGTGTCAGCGACCTCCGGGTCCCGTCTACCTCAGGGACCCCGGCCGTGGTTGCCGCGGTGCTCTGGGGCGGAATGTCCAGCGGTCCGCGCCCGTCGTGGCGGAGAGGCGCGACTTTGCCAAAGTCAAACTCAGGATTTAGTGAGCGCACGCTTTGTGCTGGTGAGCCCGGTCCTTCCAGGAGCCCGGGGCACTCCGAATCCGACTTGCTCTGCGTCTTGTGAATGTTGACTCTTTTACCCTTTCGCTTTTAGAAACTGGATGCGATTTAAATCATCTTGATAAAGTTATGTCAGACCTGTATTTCTAAGGGAGCGTGGCCGCGGAGTGGGACACACTGGTTATGTCAGCGGCTGAAACACCTCAAGAGGCCTTCATTTAAAATTTTGCTGCCGGGGCTGGAGAGATGGCTCAGCGGTTAAAAGATCTTGCAGAGGACCTGGGTTCGAATCCCAGCACCCACATGGCGGCTAACAACCCTCGGTAACTTCAGTTCTAGGGTATCCAACGCCCTCTTCTGACCTCCGCGGGCCTGGCACAACACGGGTGCACTTACACACATGCAGGCAATAACAGACACAAAATAAAAATAATAAAGTATTTAAAATTAATGCTGCCAAAGGATTTGCTGTGCTCTTAGTTTTTTCTCGTGGATAATCGGAAGGAAGATGTGATGCTTCAGAGTAGCCTACTCATAATGGAAACGAAAAGACTTAAGTAATTTCTGGGTTTGCTCTGTCACTGGCAAATGCTGCTGAGTGGTTTCAAATTTTCATCCGTTTTGGAAAGATTTACCATTTGGAGAAATAAATATAATGTCTTGAAATCCAGTAGCATTTTCTATGGAGTACACAACTTCTGTAATGTTCACTAATATTGAGCCTTGCAGAGGTAAGAAGCCCAGCCATTGTCTTTTTATTCTGGAAGAACCCATATTAACAGACTCTATAAATCTATAAAAATGTTTAGAGCCAGTGAGATGGCTCAGCAGGTGCTTGCTGCCAAGTCTAAGAACCTGTTTAGCGAGGTCAAGTGGTGAGCCCTTAATCCCAGCATTTGGTTCTTGGTTCACAGATAGCTGCCCTTTGTATTCTTAACATATGACTTTTTAGGGGACAAAAACAGTTCACTGTATTTTGTTTTGGTAATGTTTTGTATAAGCTTATCTTTATTATAAGTTCTTCTTAAAATTTTGACTGTTTGGGACTAAAGAGGTGGCTCAGCAGCTAAGAGCACATACTGCTCTTGCAGGGGACCTGGGTTGGGTTCCCAGCACCCACATGGCTGTTAACAACCATTCTTAACTTCGGTTCCAGGGAATCTCTTGCCCTCTTCTGATCCCTCTGTCATTGCATGCACATAGTATGCTTACATATATATTCAGGAAAAACACTCATACACATAAAATAAAAATAAATACATACAATTGACCATTTTAAATGTATTAGATTTTTAGTGGTAGTACACGTTCTTTGAAGGTTATACTTCACAATAATTCTCATTACTGTAGAAGAGAAATAAGAAATCCCGCTGCAACTGGGGTCCTGTACTGGACTCTAATTCACCAGCCCAAACCAAGATGGAGTCGCTTAGCAAAACTGCATAATACAACTGAAACTTTAACAAAGTAAAACAGATTCCCACACACATTTTTTTTTTCCTGAAAATAAAGATTGAAACAGTGTAATAAGGAAGTCCTATCTATTTTTTTCTCTAAAAAACAAAATAAAGTGCAAAACAAAAAAACCTTTTGAAACCTGATGATAGTCAGATCTCTTCTGTTCTGTTTCCCTATTCCTCCTTTTTTTCTGGTCTTTTTGAGACAGGGTCTCCCCAAAACCTCAGCTGGCCTGGAACTCACTATGTAGACAAGACTGGCCTCAAACCCACATGGTTCCGCCTGCCTCTGCTTCCTGAGCGCTGGGACTAAAGGCATGCGCCACCACTACCAGTCTTGTTCCATCTTGTAAAACTCATTTTTTTTTGCCATTGCTCAGTGGGAGCTCTTATTCTCCTTAGTAAGACAGATTCTGCACAGATTTGATGTTGGAAGTATTCCTCCATCTCTCTGCTCTGTATTCACTGAGGGAGGGTTTCTCACTGAGCCTAGATTTTCCTATGCAGGTAGTCTAGCTAGCCAGCTTGCTCAGGGATCTCCTGTCACTGCTTTCTAGTGCTGGAATTACAGCTGGCCCACCATGCCACCTGATAATTACGTGAATTCAGTGGATCCAAATTTCTGTCCTTATGGTTAGAAGTGCTTTAACTACTGGGCCATCTCTAGCCCTGGCCCAAGTTTTTTAAAACAATGAGCTTAACTATATGTATTTTGGCATATATTCATAGGAAAATGATAGACAAGTTTATGTTTATGTAGCAGTATTTTTATATAAAAATCAAAGTTTTTACAGTATCTTATTAGGAGGAGGGAAAGTATTAGCTGATTTATTATTAGTAGTAATTCATGTGACTTTTTATAACCACAAAATATATCCACATGCACAAGAATAAGTCTCAGCACAATATTATAGCCAACGGGGAATTGGTAATATGATATTAGTCTTTTTTAAGCTGGATGGGGAGTACAGTTGGGCAAATATTAAAATGAATACCCCTGTTTTCTCTGCTCACCCACATAAAGATTATTTTTGGTGATCCATGAAATGGCAACTCTTTAAGATCTCTTTTAATTTGACTGCAAAGAAAGAATTGAAAAACACCTGACTTGCAAAAGTGTTTATTTCCTTTAGTCATTCAGAACTTTACAGAAATTTGTCTAAAATCATATAATTGTTCTTTCATTTTGAGTTACAAAACAGGCAGCAGCACTGATTTATATGCACAAACATACTTATTTAGAAGGTGTTTGATGGGCATATTATGCTATTTCAGCAGAGTAACAGCAGTACTTCCCCTAACGGCCTATGACCTCCTTGGCCATAGCCTTTTTAAAAAAAAAAAAATAAATAAATACAATGTCGCCCTGTAGCCCCAGCTGGCCTGGAACTCACTGTAGACCATCTCAGGCTAGCCATGACCTCACAGAGATCTGCCTGCTTCTGTATCCCAAGTGCTGGGATTAAAGGTGTGTGTCACCACATCTAGCCTGGCCATGACTTTTGATCTGGTTTATCGTACCAGACCTGAATCCCCTCCTATGGAGTAGGCATCGAATCCAATGAGAAAATAGTTGAGTGTCCACATAACAGACTTACTGCTATTGTACCTGTGGGCTCACCTTGCCTGACCTGTTGGTATCTGTATTACTTTTCTGTTGCTGTGATAAACACCACAACCAAGGCAACTTATAGAAGAAAGAATTTATTTGGCTTATGGTTCCAGAGGGTAAGAGTCCATCATAGCAGGGGAGGCATGACAGGAGTCAACTAGAACAGAGAGCTAAGAGCTCACATCTTCAAGCACCCATAGGAAGCAGAGAGAGGTTGGAAGTGAAGCAAGTCTATGAACCCTCAAAGCTAGCCTCCAGGTATGTGTGTCCTCCAGCAAGGCCGCACCTCCTCAAACCTCCACAAACTGAGTACCACTGACTGGAGTCAAGTATTCAGGTACTTGGAGCCTATGGAAGGCATTTCTCATTCAAACCACCAGAGTATTGTTACACACAGGGTCTGCGGCTGAGTAAGACTATTGGCAGCAATTCTCCCCTAGCAGCCTGCATAGCACCTTCCACCACTGTGAGGATTGGTCAGCAAGAAGGAAGCTTCCAGCCCAGTTGCAGCTTGATTTCTCCAAGTCCTGCAAACAAAGCATGTGATGTTTTCAAAAAAAGGGTCTTGCCATATAGTTCTGGTGGGCAACCAACAGCAGTGGCAATCACTTCTTATTTTGGGGGACTCAGGGACCTCTCTGACTGGCAGCTCATGGACAGGTAGCCTACTTTGGCACTGAAATTTTTCATTTACTGACCTGTGACTTCTTGGAGCAGCTTTATCTGTCCACACAGGGTACCTCTATTCAAACCCTATATTTGTTAAATTTTATTTTTGTTTGGCTTAGCAGCAGATTTCCTAATGACCTTTTCATACATTGTTGGTTTGTGTTAACCCTGCCTCCAGCCCTTGTTCTCCATCTCTTTGTGCCCCTCCTTGCTGTTTAAGTCCTTCTCTCCCAGTAGTCCCCCATCTTTTGTATCACATGCATTCTACTGTTTCCCCCTCCCTTTAAGTACTCTTGTTCCCTTCTCATGGGCCCTTTTCTAGTCTCCTGAGTTCTATACAACATAAATGCACACATAGAGTTAGAAACTAGGCTCTGCATATGAGAGCACATGTGGAAAATGGATTTATCTTATATGTATTATATATGTTTGTGTCAAAACCTTTAGATGCTTTATTTACTCATTGAATTTTGAGTTTTGGTTAAAATATTGTCATATAGCCCAATTCATGAGATCAGCCTATTAAATGAGATTGTCTCATATACTTTATCTTTAAATTAAATCATTACATGAATACTCATTTGGGGGGATTTTTTTTTTTTTTTTTGTCTTTTTGAGACAGGGTCTCCCTGTAGTCCCAGCTGGCCTGGAACTCACTATGTAGACCAGGCTGGGTGGAACTCACAGAGATCCGCCTACCTCTGCCTCCCGAGTGCTGGGATTGGATATTTTTAGACCCACTGAGAAATCATGAAATGCATTTATAAGAGATTATTAAAACAATAAAACCAACATTAAAATGATGATAAAATCATTTTAAAATAACTTTAAAATGATTATAATGTATTTTTCATTATTTATTATAGTTACATTGTGATAGAATAGACCTAAAATAAGTAATTTATGGACTGGAGAGGTAGCTCAGTGAGAGGCTTGATTTCCATTCCCCGACATAAGATGCCGGTATGAGTTTGTAATCCAGGGCTGGGAAGGTAGAGACAGGCAGATCCTTTCTGGTCT